ACCTCTGCCTCCTGGGTTCTAGCAATTCTCGTGCCTCAGTCACCCAAGTAGCTAGGATTACAGGCATGCACCACCATGCCTGGCTAATTTTTATATTTTCAGTAGAGACAGGATTTTGCCACGTTGACCAGGCTGGTCTCAAATTCCTGGCTTCAAGCGATCCACACACCTTGGCCTCCCAAAGTGCTGGGATGACAGATGTGAGCCACTGTGCCTGGCCTGAAATGATTATGTCTCTGTGTATGAATAAATGAAAATCAAGGCCAGGCATGGTGGCTTATGTCTGTCATCCTACCACTTTGGGAGGCCAAGGCAGGTGGATCAAGAAGTCAGGAGTTGGCTGGGCGCGGTGGCTCAAGCCTGTAATCCCAGCACTTTGGGAGGCCGAGGCGGGTGGATCACGAGGTCAGGAGATCGAGACCATCCTGGCTAACATGGTGAAACCCCGTCTCTACTAAAAATACAAAAAACTAGCCGGGCGTGGTGGCGGGCGCCTGTAGTCCCAGCTACTTGGAGGCTGAGGTGGGAGAATGGCGTGAACCTGGGAGGCGGAGCTTGCAGTGAGCCGAGATCGCCCCACTGCACTCCAGCCTGGGTGACACAGTGAGACTCCGTCTCAAAAAAAAAAAAAAAAGAAGTCAGGAGTTCATGACCAGCCTGGCCAAGATGGTGAAACCCCGTCTCTATTAAAAGTACAAATAATTAGCCAGGCATGGTGGTGGGTGCCTGTAGTCCCAGCTACTTGGGAGGCTGAGGCAAAGAACTGCTTGAACCTGGGAGGTGGAGGTTGCAGCGAGCTGAGATCGTGCCACTGCACTCCAGCTGGGGCAACAGGGCGAGACTCCATCTCAAAAAAAAATGAAAAATAAAATCAAATTTAAATATCATAGTAGCATAAAAAATGTGAAATAGGGCCAGGTGTAGTGGCTCATGCCTATAATCCCAGCACTTTGGGAGCCTGAGGTGGGTGGATCATTTGAGGTCAGGAGTTCGAGACCAGCCTGGCCAACATGGTGAAACCCTGTCTCCACTAAAAATACAAAAATTAGTCAGGTGTGGTGTCACATGCCTGTAATCCCAGTTACTTGGGAGGCTGAGGCAGCAGAATCACTTGAAACTGGTTTGTAGTGAGCTGAGATCTTGTCACTGCACTCCAGTCTGGGTGACAGAGCAAGACTCCATCTCAAAAAGAAAAAAAAAAAGGGAAATACTTAGGGATAAATCCAACAAAGGATATATAAGACCTGTATACTGAAAATGACAAAATAATAATGACATAAAGACACAATGAAGGGATATACAGTGTTTATAAATCAGAAGACTCAACATTTTTCTTTAGAAACAGAAGTTGAGAAGTTTAATCTAAAATTCATATGAAAATTCAAAGGACCCAGAATAACCAAAGCAACTTTGAAAAAGGAGGACAAAGTCGGAGAGCTAGCATAAAATAATCTCAAACTTTATTATAAAGTTACAGTTATCAAGACCGTGCAATACTGGCACAGAGATAGACAAATTAATCAGTGCAATGGAATAGGAAGCCCAGAAGTAGACCCACATATTTATGGACAGCTGAGATTTGGTAGAAGTACAAAGGCAATCCAATGAAGAAATAATTGTCTTCAATGAATGGTACTGGAACAATTGCATCCAAATATGCAAGAAAACAGATATATTTGGTCCATACTAACAACCTGTATAAAAACTGACTCCAAATAGGTTATAGAATTAAAGGTAAATCTACAATAATAAAACTTTTAGAAGAAGGCACAGGAGAAAATATTTGTGACCCCGGGTTAGATGAAAATTTCTTAGTTCATAACCCAAAGCACAATCCATCAAAGGAAAAATTCATAAATTAACAATGTCTGCTTTTTGAAAGATACTTGAGAAAATCAAAAGACAAGCAACATATTGGGAGAAAATCTTTGCAAATTATGTCTCATAATGGGACCCCTGGATCCAAAAAACACAAAGAATTGTCAAAACTTAACAATAAGAAAATAAGAAAACCCAATTTTTTTAATGGACAAAAGATTTGAACACAAGCACTTTACCAAGTGAGATGGATAGATGGCAAAAGAAAGATGCATACTATCACTACTCATTAGGGAGATGCAAATTAAAACCCATGAAAGGTGGGCAGATCACCTGAGGTCTGGAGTTCAAGACCAGCCTGGCCAACATGGTGAAACCTCATCTCTACCACAATACATAAATTAGGGGTGTGTGGTGGTGAATGCCTGTAATCCCAGCTACTCGGGAGGCTGAGGTAGGAGAATCGCTTGAACCCGGGAGGTGGAGGTTGCAGTGAGCCAAGATTGTGCCATTGCACTCCAGCCTGGGCAACAAGAGCGAAACTCTGTCTCAAAACTCAGTCTTTTTAATGTTAGCCATTAACATATGGAGTGACCGTACCTTTCATACACTGCTGGTGGGAATGTAAAATGGTAAAACACTTTGGAAAACATTGGGCAGTTTCTTAAAAAGTTAAACACACACCTATCATATGATGTAGCCATTATACTCAAGTATTTATCCAAGAAAAATGAAAGCATATGTCAATACAAAGCCCTGTATGCAAATGTTCACAGTAGCTTTAATAGCCAAAATTGGAAACAACCCAAATGTACCTCAACAAATAAATGGATAATCTGTGATAAATACAATGGACTGTAACTCAGCAATAAAATAAACTACAGATATACACTACAATATGAATGAATCTCAAAATACGCCGTGTAAAAGAAGTCAGACAAAAAATAGTACATACTTTATGATTTCATTTATATGGAATTCTAGAAACTGCAAACTAATTTAAAGAGATAGAAATCACATCAAGTGTTACCTGGGGGATGTGGGTGGTGATGGCAGGTAAAAAGGAGTAGGTAGGAGGGGTTAAAAAGGGGCATGATGAGGCTTTTTGGGAGTGATAGTGGATATGTTTATTTCTACTATGTTGGTGGTTTCACAGAATATACCTGTTAAAACAAATTATGCTCTTTAAATATGTTCACATTATTGTTGTAGAAAGATGTAATGTACCAAATTGAAATGCGTCTTGGTGTGGTAGATCATGCTTGTAATCCCAGCACTTGGGAGGCAGAAGCAGGAGGATCATTTGAGGTCAGGAGTTCCAGGCCAGCCTTGCCAACATTGTGAAACCCTGTCTCTACTAAAAACACAAAAATCAGCTGGGTGTGGTGGCACACGCCTGTAATCCCAGCTACTTGGGAGCCTAAAGTGGGAGAATTCCTTTAACCCAGGAGGCAGAGGTTGCAGTGAGCCATCATTGTGCCACTTCACTCTGGACTGGGAAACAGAGCGAGACTCCGTCTCAAAATTAAAAAAAAAAAAAAGAAGTTAAAAGAAGTAGAGAAAATTTTTGCAAAATATTTGCCAGTTAAAAGCTATTCGGGGCCAGGCGCAGTGGCTCACATCTGTAATCCCAGCACTTTGGGAGGCTGAGGAGGACAGATCACGGGGTCAGGAGTTCGAGACCAACCTGGCCAATATAGTGAAACCTCGTCTCTACTAAAAATACAAAAATTAGCCGGGCGTGGTGGCGCTCGCCTGTAATCCTAGCCACTCAGGAGGGTGAGGCAGGAGAATTGCTTGAACCCAGGAGGCGGAGGTTGTAGTGAGCTGAGATCGCGCCACCACTCCACTCCAGCCTGGGTGACAGAATGAAACACTGTCTCAGGAAGAAAAATAAAAAAGCTATTCTGAATATCAGAGAGGTAAATACACACACACACACACACACACACACACACACACTTACCTACAAACTCAAAAGAGACAGGTAGGAAATTAAAAAAAAAAAAACCAACCAGGAGTGTCCATTTAAAATATGAAACACGTAACTTCACTAAGGATCAAATAAGTAAAAACGGAAATAATATGACACCTCATTTCACCGACCAAATTGGCAAAATAAGAGGAAAAAAGATGCTTTTTTTGGGTAAGGGTATAAGGAAATAGTTTTTTATACATTGCTTGAAGAATAGGATGGGTATGCCCTTTGACCTAGTAATACACTTTTGGGAATTCATACAAGGCAGTTTCTTGTTTGTTTGTTTTGTTTTAGCAAAAGAGGCGAGGCATAATTAGGGAAAGCACAGACGGAATACGACAGTGCATATGGGAAATGTGACTTCTTTGACCTATAAGTTTGGGTTTCTTTGTAGCTTGTGTTTTATCTGAAATTAGGTGTTGAAATTTTGGGTAATTTTTTATTTCCTTCTTTTTGTTTCTATGTATTTTCTAAAAAAATTTTTTGCAAAGTCTATTACTTCTGTAATTAGAAGAAGTGATACAAAACCTTTTAGGTAATTTCAAATCTAACTATAAAGTACTGCAAAAAAAAAATCACAATATATATATTTCCAGAAAATAATTTGACAATAGGAATCAAGAAAGTTTAAGTAAGCTCATTTCTTTTAACCAAATAATTCTCCATATTTAAACTATAACTGAGAAGAAAAAAAATTTTAGGAAATAAATAGAAGCTCAAAGATTATTATTTTTATTTTTTTTAATTTATTTTTTTTGAGACGGAGTTTCGCTCTTGTTGCCCAGGCTGGAGTGCAATGCATGATCTCAGCTCACCGCAACCTCCACCTCCTGGGTTCAGGAGATTCTCCTGCCTCAGCCTCCCCAGTAGCTGGGACTACAGACATGCGCCACCATGCCCGGCTAATTTTTTTTTTTTTTTTTGCATTTTTAGTAGAGACAGGCCTTCTTCATTTTGATCAGGCTGCTCTCGAACTCCTGACCTCAGGTGATCCACCCGCCTTGGCCTCCCGAAGTGCTGGGATTACAGGTGTGAGCCACCGCGCCTGGCCAAAGATTTTTATAAAAGAATATTTTATCCCAATTTTATTAATATTTTTACTTTCTCTTTTATTTTTCTTTCAAAGATAAAAATTCATTCAAAAACCCAGAAAATATTATTTTTTTCCATTTCTTAGGAGAAAGCTAAGTTGTATAGACAGTACCTTTTTGTGTGTGGCACAAAATATTCCATATTGCTCAGATTCATTTTAGCAGCAATCTTCTTTTTTCTCTTTTATAACTTCAGTCCTTTGTATTTATGATGCAACCTGTGGAAAAAGAAGAACAAAATACATAATTACCAGCAAAATTAAAGAATCAATAATTGCTCATGTGGTAGTTTTACATATTTACAAATGTAATATTACAAAGCTAAAATTTTATCTTCATCTGTTTGTGGATGGCAAATTTAAAAGGTAAGATGCTCTACAAGATGCAAACTACTCTTCCACAGGCAGTATCTGGGAAACAAATGTGTTGTTAGATTTAAGAATCTATATTGAGGCTTCCACTGGTTTGTTTGTGTCCAGGGGAACCTAATAGAGGCTACCAGTAGTCAGCACTAATCTGATAGCATGCGGTAATGCTACTGATTCTCTGTCAGTAAGGCTTCTATTTTGAATTGCTTTTCCAATAGACATGATGATTTGCATTGATTACTCTACCTTTCCTTTCCTAGGCTCTCCTATAACCAATCTTCCACATTTTCCAGGTGATGATGATGATGATTTTTTTTTTTTTTTGAGACGGAGTCTCGCTCTGTTGCCCAGGCTGGAGTGCAGTGGCGTGATCTCAGCTCACTGCAACCTCCACCTCCCAGGTTCAAGCAATTCTCCTGCCTCAGTCTCCCGAGTAGCTGGGATTATAGGCGTCTGCCACTATGCCTGGCTAATGTTTGTATTTTTAGTAGAGACGGGGTTTCACCATGTTGGCCAGGCTGGTCTTGAACTCCTGATCTCAAGTGATCCACCCACCTTGGCCTCCCAAAGTGCTGGGATTACAGGCATGAGCATGATTATTTTTAAACTATCTATTAAAGAAGTACATGCCCAATGTAAAAACCTGGGAAATACACACTATTAAGAAAAAAATCCGGTACCTGTAATCCCAGCTACCCACAAGGCTGAGGCAGGAGAATCGCTTGAACCCGGGAGGCAGAGGTTGCAGTGAGCCAAGATCGCACCACCGCACTTCAGCCTTGGTGACAGAGTGAGACTCCGTCACAAAAAAAAAAAAAAAAAAAAAAAAAAAAGGGAAGAAAAAAATCCATAATCCTATCCAGGCAAAACTCCATTAACAATCTGGCATACTTTTCTCCAGGCACGTATTTATTTCTGCCTGCATTTTTAAAATGCAGCTGAGATCACATTATATGTATAATTTTGTAGTTCACCTCTTTTATCTAACCCTATGACTATTTTGCCATGTCACCAAATACTGTTCACAAAGGTCATTTTAATGACTGCTTAATGTCTGTCTTATGGAAGAGCTGTAATTCATTCACAACCATTTCTCCACAATCAGAAACCAAGGCTATTTTCAACCTTGTGTTGAACTATTGAAAATTATCATGTCTGGAAGATCTTGGTGCCTATTACTTATCTACATTTTGGGGGTTTTCTTGAGAATGGCTTTCTAGAAGTAGAATTATTGGGTCAAAGAATATAACAATTTAAAACCTACATCTATTGGAATAATTTTTAGATGCTTGACTAGCATTGCAGATGAAGGCCTTACAGGAAAAAACTAGAAAAAAACCTATGGACTTCCGTTTTCACATTTTTCTTGCTGAGAATATCCCACTCTTGTCTCATGCCTATACTTATAAACTGAACGTTTTCATTATTTTTGTTACTCCTTCCGATTCTGTGGCTGTGGAATGCTTTAGATTAATTGGTAGCTAAAACTTGCTTGAATTCAGCATCACATTTTACCTAACCACTAACCAATCAATAACTGCAATGTTTGCATGTCTACTTTGCTAATGTAGTCTGACTATAGCACCAATAAACTAAAATATTCCTTATGACATCATATGAACACCAGTTGCTAAATTTCTAAGAAAGTAGTTTCAGCCGGGTGCGGTGGCTCACGTCTGTAATCCTAGCACTCTGGGAGGCCAAGGCGGGTGGATCACCTGAGGTCAGGAGTTCGAGACCAGCCTGACCAACATGGAGAAACCCCGTCTCTACTAAAAATACAAAATTAGCCGGGTGTGGTGGTGCATGCCTGTAATCCCAGCTATTTGGGCAGCTGAGGCAGGAGAATCACTTGAACCTGGGAGGCAGAGGTTGCAGTGAGCTGAGATCACACCATTGCACTCCAGCCTGGCAACAAGAGCAAAACTCCATCTCAGAAAAAAGAAAGTAGTTTCAAATAAGGTATCTTACAAATCAGGAAACATTCATTCCTATAAAATAGTTTTTTCTTTCTTTCCCTCCCTTCCTCCCTCCCTCCCTTCTTTCTTTCTCTCTCTCTCTCCCTCTCCCCTTTCTTTTTTTATTTTTTGAGACAGAGTCTGGCTCTGTCGCCCAGGCTGGAGTGCGGTGGCAAGATTTCAGCTCACTGCAACCTTCCCAGGTTCAAACGATTCTCATGCCTCAGCCTCCTGAGTAGCTGGAAGGACAGGCTCTTGCCACCATGCCGGGCTAATTATCCTCTCTCTAAATAGTTACTAACTCTTCTTACATAATTAATTTTCTTTCTCTGTCTTTTTTTTTTTTTTTTTTTAGACTCAGGCTGGAGTGCAGTGATACAATCTCGGCTCACTGCAACCTCTGCCTCCCGGGTTCAAGCGATTCTCCTGCCTCAGCTTTCCAAGTAGCTGGGATTACAGGCGTGCGCCACCATGCCTAATTTTGCATTTTTAGTAGAGATGGGGTTTTGTTATATTGGCCAGGCTGGTCTCGAACTTCTTACTTGAGATGATCCACCTGCCTTGGTCTTCCAAAGTGCTGGGATTACAGGCGTGAGCCAGTGCGCCCGGCCTACTTTTACATAATTTTCTTAAAATGCATGCATACTCTCTTCATCTTTGGTTGCCAAGCTCTATATATGTTCTAAAATTATCTAAGACTTCTAGGAATTAAGCCTTCTCAGTTTTATCTTTTCTTTGTTTGCTTTTCTGCTACAATATTGCATTGCTATTGAGGCTGAAGACAGTATTCCTGAAGTTCATCCATTAAACCTAAAGGATATTTTCAATTTTCTTCCATTTTACTACCCCCACTTCCTTCTTCATAAATGTCTCTTGGATCCCATGAAACTGTCTTCTGTTTTTCCAAATTATTCTGGTTACACTTCCTCTTCTCTCTGATGTCTAAATGAATGTGTTCCTCTAAGGATTTCCCAAGTCCCCTGTGTGACTGCAAGCTGCTATCTTAATTTCTGCCCATTTAATGGTTTTAAGTAATACTGTGTCACTAGACAGTACTGACAATTATTCCAAGCCCCAGTCCCGTATTTTCAAATATCTATTTGGCTTCTCCCCTAAATGGCTCACATATACCTCCCATTAACACTGTTCTCTTTCCCTGTCCCTTACATTCAATTAATCCCCAATTTCTGCTTCAAATATTTCTTTTGGCCTGTTTTTCCATTTCTCTGGCATCATATGCTCTCTCCTTTTCTTCTCCTCTTACAGCCTCTATCTGTTCTGGAATTCGAAAAACACTATTACCATAATTATCTTTCTAAAGCATGGTTCAGATAATATCATAGCTCTGCTCAAAATCCTTCAAAATCTCACTGCTTCCTATGGGATAAAGAATAATAATAATAATAACTTTACCTAATGAACATTCAAAGCTGGCTTCAAACCACTAGTCTAACCTAAATTTTTAAACTTTATAAAATCAGGAAAAAATAAATTCCATTCAGTTACATTTTTATATATACTTTGTATTTCATTTCTCACTTGGTCTTTGTCCAAGTTGTTTCCTCTGCTTATAAGGCCCAAATCCCAACTATTCTCACAGTCCAGCTCAATGTCACCTCTATAAAACCTACTATTTTCTCCCTTTGCTTCAGTTTTCAACACACATAGTACTCTAAAACTGGATGGCAAGTGCTTCTTCAGAGAAGGATAATTGTCTAAGCTCACATTTGGATTAATCATTGTAACCCCTGACATTTTTAAAAATAAAAACAGCATTATTGAAATATAATTCACCTACATATACTCCACCCATTTAAAGTGTACAATTCAATGGTTTTTAGCATATTCACAGATATGTACAACCATTACTAACCAGTTATTTTTAGAACATTTTCATCACCATACATACACACAAAAAACCATACCCTTTAGCTATTACCCCACCCTTGCCCCACCCCATTTCCTCCATTCCTAAGCAATTTACTAACATACTTTCCATCTTTATAGATTTCCTTGTTCTGGGAATTTCATATAAACAGAATCAAACAATATGTGGTCTTTCATGACTGGCTTTTTCCACTCAGCATGTTTTCAAATCCAATGCATAGCATGAATCAGTATTTCTTTTTATTGCCAGATAATATTCCATTGTATGGATATATCACATTTTATCCATTTATCAGGTGATGGACATTTGGATTGCTTTACCTTTTGGCCATTATGAATAGTGCTACTAGAATTATTCATGTATAAGTTTTTATGCGGATATATGTTTTCATTTTTCTTGAGCATATACCTATGAGTGGAAATGCTGGCCCCTACGGCTTCTTTAAGTAGCAGATACTCCATAAAAATCTGATGAAATCACCTTCCCTTTTCCATTTCAATCTTAGAATTAAAATGATCATTCAAATTAATCCTTTCCCCAAAAGATAAACAAGAATATTTTTTCTTCTAAGAGGATAAGATGAAATAACAGGCATAAAATAAGTTTTTCCCTCTTCCTTGACCTCCTGCAACCTCAGGTATTACATTTATAGTGAGAATGTAGAACTGCGCCAAGAATGTAGTATTTCAGGTTTTAGACCCTTGGGCCAAATAAACAATCCAACTAGCTTGGAGGATGTGCAATTGAAATAATTATCTTCACAAACACTTCTTTATTCTAAGAAATGAAAACCTTCTAACAATGGTAATCAAGTAAATTATTTCTCACAGACATTCTAACTTAGTATAAGAAAGAATGGTGGCGCATGCCTGTAGTCCCAGCTATTTGGGAGGCTGAGGCATGAGAATCACTTGAGCCCAGGAGGCAGAGGTTGCAGTGAGCCGAGTCACTCATGCCACTGCACTCCAACCTGGGCAACACAGCAAGACTCTATCAAAAAAAAA